TAACAAAGCTGAAGAAGAGCCAGCGCTGTCTCTGTGGTCATGAGGCTGGCAGGACTAAATGTCGAAGAGGCATGGAATGCTGTGAAATTCCCACCAAAGTGGTCCCTATTTTTCTACTTGCATTTTTTTTACATGCTTTTGAACTGCTAGGTTGGCAGAAGCTGGGACAAGTAACGGGAGCTCACTCCGTTATGCGGTGCTAGGGATTTGAACCGCCGAACTGCCAACCTTTCTGATCGACAAGCTTATCGTCTTAGCCACTGAGCCACATCACCCCTCACAGTCTCTCTTAGGCAGCGGGTATTTCCATGGGACTGTCTCCCGCAGACTCCCTTTCCTCTTCTGGATGAGCTTAAATGCCACCCAATCTTTCCCCAGAATGTTTAGCAAAGTAGAAATCTGGAGGCCATTTTTTTGTCTTACAATCCATGCAGAGCAGGAGAACTGGGACAGCTGGCCTAGGATCTAAATGAAGGAAAATTAAATTGCTTGAAATCATATAAAATGGCCAGGATTGCAAGATTACAGGGATCTTGCCCCGAGGGAGACTTATGTAATCGTGTGTTACCTCGTTTGACATCTTGGCAGCCTGTCACAGTCTCCCTTGAAATTTAAGGTAAAACGGGTTACCGATGTGGACTCTAGATAAATTCTTGTTGTGTTACGGAGGTGCTGGCAAATCCCAGTGTGGAAACTACTCAAAAGAAGAGCAGCAGGGAGGAATATGGGATTTCTTTTGACTTTAGAGATATTAAAAGAAAACCCACTTCAGCAACATGTCTCCACCTTGGCCATTTTAAGATAGGTGGACTGGGTGGGGAATTCTGGGAGTTGAAGTCCACCTATCTTAAAATGCCCACGGTTTAGAAACGCTGCACTATGGATTTCCATATGTGCTAGTTGTTTCTGGCTCTAGGGGGCGGTGCTCATCTCTGTTACAAAGCTGAAGAGCCAGCGTTGTCCAGAGACGTCTCCGTGGTCATGGGGCTGGCATGACTAAACACCGAAGGTGCACGGAACGCTGTTCCCTTCCCACCAAAGGGGTCCCTATTTTTCTACTTGCATTTTTTACATGCTTTCGAACTGCTAGGTTGGCAGAAGCTGGGACAAGTAACGGGAGCTCACTCTGTTACGTGGTGTTAGGGATTCGAATGGCCGAACTGCTGACCTTTCTGATTGACAAGCTTAGCATCTTAGCCACAAAAGCCACCCAAACATAAAAAACCCCACCAAGAAACTCAACTGTTTGGTTTTTTAAAAATCCACTCCAAACCATCCACTTTTGGGAAAGGGGAAAAAGTCTTGCAAAGAACATGTTTCTGAAAGACCCCACTTTAAAAGGGGGGGTTAGAACATTTCACAGAGCTTGCTTTGGGGTTCAGGAAAGGGAAATGCATGTAACCCCAAAAGGATTATCAGCAAAATTCACCTTTTAAGAGAGATTAGTTTATATTAACAGCTAGTCCATCCATTAAGGGAAGATGGCTCCAAATGCTTCTAAATTAATGTGTGAACAAAAGTGGATTTCTCTGGTGGATTTTTTCTTTTTTAATACTAGAATGGGCCAAAATTCTATCTTCCCAACACTGACAATAAAACATGTCAGATTTCAACCAAACTGGATGTTTGTAACTGAAGTTTGTAACTCTGCTCATGAAGGATTTCAGCACCATTCAGAGTCCAGATTGCCTTGGTTCTGAACATATAAGAATCTTTCTGGAAGAAAAGGGATTCTAAACTGTACACCCAGGCAGATACTTCCATATAAAGAATAAAGATAAAGGTAAAGGTTCCCCTCGCATATCCGTGCTAGTCGTTTCCAGCTCTAGGGGCCGGTGCTCATCTCCGTTACAAAGCCAAAGAGCCAGCGCTGTTCGAAGATGTCTCCATGGTCATGTGGCCAGCATGACTATACACTGAAGGTGCATGGAGAAATGCTGTTCCCTTCCCACCAAAGGGGTCCCTATTTTTCTACTTGCCTTTTTTTTTTTTTTTACATGCTTTCAAACTGCTAGGTTGTCAGAAGCTGGGACAAGGAACAGGAGCTCACTCCGTGACGCGGCGCTAGGGATTCGAACTGCCAAACTGCCGACCTTTCTGATTGACAAGCTCAGCGTCTTAGCCACTGAGCCACTGCGTCCCTTATATAAAGAATTCAGGGTTCATATTCGAAACACAGGAAAAGGACAGTTTTCCTCACCTCAATTCTTGTGGAATAGCTCAATATTTGGCAGGCTGAAATTTGAAGGACGTATTCGAGCCCAACATTACAATCATAAACAATGGCCTTCTTAAACTAACTTTTTCCCAATCTGGAGGTTTTCAAGATTTCAACCTCCAGAATTCTCCAGCCAATGTAACTGAGAATTCTGGACCAGACATCTTCTGGAGGAGAAGGTGGTGCCACCAAATCCAAGGAGATTTTCTCTTCTTGAGACTTCCTCGGGCTGCCCAACATCCATCAACATTGGCCACCATACCTGGACTACTGGAGGTTGTAGTTCAGGAATATTTGCTGGGCCACGATTTTCCTGCCCTATGGACACTTGGGAAACTACCACTAGAAGATAATATTTTTAGTTCAGGGGTGAACTAAAGTCTCAGCTTGGTTGTTTTCCTACAGATGTTTTATTACCCAACTAGGTAACGTCGTGAGTGGTAGAATGGAGTAGAATTTGCTCTTTGTTTATATACAAGTGGTTTGTCCTCTCAGTGTTGGGGAGAGTGTCCTTGGTAGTTCCTTGATTAGACTACTGTTTACTATTGGATAGTTTGTCCGAGTTGGTATTTCCTAGTTTGGGGGTCGGCAACCTGTGGCTCCAGAGCTGCATGGGCCCTCTTCTGTGGCTCCCTCTTCTGTGGGCCCTCTTCTGTGGCTCCCTGTCACCCTGTCATGGCAGAGGAAAGAAAGAGCCGTCGCCCTGCGCAGCAGTGGCATGGCCTGAACCGTAGTGCAGGAACAAATGACTGGATGGGAGCGAGTGAGTGACGTCGAGTTGGCCACGCCCATCCAGGTTTCGGAGCTCCCAGTGTTTTGTTTTCCATGGGAAACGGCCCCCATTGGCTCTTTGAGTGTTTAAGGTTGCAGACCCCTGCGTAGTTCCTCCCAACAACCAAGTTGTAAACAACACCCCAAACAAGGTACCATCAATGCAGATAAACAATCAAACAGGAAACAATATCTTAATCAAGGAACTTCCAAGAACACTTTCGCCAACACCGATAAGGCAAGCCACTAAGATATAAGCAGAAAGCAAACCCACTCTCTTCTAGCACTGGTGATGTTATTACCTAGTTGGGTCATGAGAGTTGTCTGCAAGAAAACAACCAAGTTCAGGGAGCACCAAGGACCCCACAATTGGGAAACTTCCTCTCCTCTCTTCTTGCTAGCATACTATTCACACAGCCCAAAGTAGGTGTACTGGACCACTCAGATATTTGGACTGGCTCAGTCAACTTAGCCACTGGCACGGGGTGGTGGGGATCTACCTCTCCCATACCTTGTGAGCCCTCCCATCCAAATGCCCTCCCCTTTTGCCCTTTGTGCCACCTGGTCTTCCCGTTTGACCCTAGGAACAAAGGGATTCTTTTCCTGAGCGGTGAATGGCCGCACAACACACAGCTACAGTTGGCCTGATGAACGTAGAGACACACAGATGCATGTGTATACACACACATACACACTCACACTCACACTCACACACATACACAAGACACAGAAAACATTTGCTACATCAGTGGCACCAAATGCTTTCCTGGCCATGCTGTGAAAGCTCAGGTCTTCTCAGCTCAGCATTCGAAGCTTCCCCTGGATCAGCCTTTCTCCACCTTGGCAACTTTTAAGATGGGAGGATTTCGACTCCCAGAATCTCCCAGCCAGGGGACATCTGGGGGTCAAAGTCCACCCATCTTAAAGTTGCCAAAGTAGAGAACTGCTGCTCAGGCGCCTGTGTCCATCAGAAACTGGTCTCTCTTCCCTACTGGGAAGAGGCACAGATGATGGGAGGACATGGTCTGCCGTAGTCAGTAGACACTCTTCCCCCTCCACAGAGGACCTCCAAGAGGTCACCTTGAACTTGGAAGGAGGAGCTAGACAAGGGCCAACGGTGTGCCAAGGTCCACCTAGGTGAATCATCAGCCTCTCATGGGGGAAAATACCTCCTAGCCCCATTTCTGTAGGTCACAGAAATCTCTCGTTCTTCTGAACCTCCCCAAGAACTTCTGGGGGAGGCAAGACTCTTATGAAACCCAGCTTCATGTCCTCTTGGGGGGCTCCAACCAACTCGAAGGTCAAGCCACTGCCCAAGACATCCTTCAAGTACACAGGATGGGAACTCCCATGTTCCCCAACCAGCCAGCACAGCAGGGATGATGGGCATTAGAAGTCCATACATCGAGAGGTCAGCAAGGCAACGCTCGTGGCTCTGCTTCGACTCTTTGGCAGGGGAGGGGGGAGCCCTATTTTCCCAATCAGCAAGGCTACCGCCCCATTTTCTAACCTTTCACCCCTTCCCTACAAGACCTTCCCACTCTTCCCCTCCCTAAATTTTCCCCACCCACCCCCAACTACACAACAGCCACTTCTGCCTGGATGAAATGGGTGCCACGAGCTCACCAATCGTTCCAGTTCCCCCCACAACGACACCCCCCTCCCCCCAGTCCTTTTTCTTCATCCCCCCTCCCCCCCATCCTGGCTTACACACCATGCCTATTTCTACCGTGGCTTTAGCTGCCCAGCCACGAACTGTTTGCATCGTCCAAATCATTGAATAAATCGTCTTTTTCTTTCTTTCCCCCCTTCGTTTTCTATTGTATTGTTTACTTGTTGTTTGGAGGGACAGAAATCCCAGTCAATCAGAGGATCTTTTGTGTGTGTGTGTGTGTGTGTATGTGTGTGTGTTTTGTTAAAAAGAGTCCTTCTATACATCGCTTATCCCAGGGCAGAAGAAGATACAGTGCTGATATCAGAATGCTGGCTTGGCGTATGTGCCACATTCTCCTCAGACGCAGATCTCGATGGCGGTCGCCAAAACCATCTGGCCTTTGGCCTTGTCTGCCCGGCCGTCAGTCCTGCTTCCTCCACCGGGGGAAGGGAGGCCAGGCTCCGAAGCCACCAGCCGAGAGACGCTGCCCTCCGTCAGGATGGTCCTCTTAAGTGGGGTTGGGGTGCAGCCACTGGGTGTCTCATGGCGGTGCGGGCCAGCTGAGAGTTTGTCCCCAGTGTGCTTGCGGGAACGATAAGATGGCCGCCGGCGCATCTCGGACATCAGGTCATACTTGATGAAGAGAAAGAGCTCCTTCACTGGGCAGCGTTTCTCTGGGTCGAGGGCCAGCAAGCGTTGAAACATCCGCAGCGCGTTGTCCGTGAAGCGGCGCCACTGAGAGGGGACGCCCACCAGCCGCCCCTTTTGCCACCTCACAAACTCCTCAAAGAAAGAGTCTGAGGCTGTGGCCGCTTCCCAGGGGAAGTTGCCGGTCAGCACGCAAAAGATGAGCACCCCAAAAGCCCACACGTCGATGCTTGCGTCCACCATAAAACCCTCTGCCCGGCCTGCCTGGCACACCTCCGGCGCTGTGTATGGGATGGTGCCGCTGATGCGTTTCACCCGGCACCCCACTTTGCGCGTCATCCCGAAGTCAGCCAGTTTGACGCGCCGGCAGTCACGGTCAAACAGGAGGACGTTTTCCGGCTTGATGTCCCGGTGTACCAAGTTTTTGCTGTGCATGTAGTCCAGTGCCAGGCCCAGCTGTTGCACGCAGCGCTTCACCATGTCCTCTGGCAGCCCGACCTGCAGACAGAGATGTTGAGAGCTGAGTTTACAGCTGGAAGCACCCAAACCCAGGAACGTCTCATGCTTTACTGTAATCAGGGGTGGGATTCTACCAGTTGGCACCTATTCGCTAGAACCGGTTGTTAACATTCTAAGCAGTTCGGAGAACTGGTTGTTAGAAGAAATTACTGGCCTAATCCTGTAAGGAAGGCAGGAAGGAAACATTCTGGTGTTGCTTAGAGAAGCTGCCTCTCCATTAACCCTTATTACATTCTTGGCAGGACTAGACTTCCTGTCTCAGGAACCTCCCTGGAGTTTTTTTCCCCTCCTTTGCTGGTACTTTGCTTGTGTGGAGTGACCCTTCAAAGTTACAATGGTACTGAAAAAAGTGACTTGTGACCATTTTTCACACTTACGACTGTTGCAGCATCCCCACAGTCATGAGAGGCCAGGCGAGGAGATGCGTGCCTCGATGTGAGTGATATTGAGTTGGCCACACCCAGCCAATAACATGACCACCAAGCCACGCCCACCCAGTCACATGACCACCAAGCCACGCCCACCAACTAAGCCACGCCCACAGAACCGGTTGTTAAAAATTTTGAATCCCACCCCTGACTGTAATGGTATAGTTTAATGACAAGAAGGACTAGGGGAGACATGAGAGCAGTCTTCCAATATCTCTGGGGCTGCCACAAAGAACAGGGAGGTCAGTCTATTCACCAAAGCACCAGAAGGCAAGACAAGAAGGAATGAGGTAAAATGAGGACCCAGATTGTTGGGAAGACTCTGTAAACAGCCTAGAGAGGGCTCTAAAGCACCGTGAAGTAGTGTATAAGTCCAAGTGCTACTGTTGATTAGTTATGGTGGTGCAGAAATTAGAATGCAGTATTGCAGGCTAATTGTGCCGACTGCCAGCAGTTCAATCCTGACCGGCTTAAGATTGACTCAGCCTTCCCTCCTTCTGAGGCCGGTAAAACAAGGATTCAGATTGTTGGGGGGCCAAAGTCTGGTTATATAAACCACTTAGAGAGAGCTGAAAAGCACCGCAAAGTGGTATATAAGTCTTAAGTGCTCTTGCTATAACACCCCGTTTGTCCATCTTCATATTCTATTAGAACAGGAGTCTCCAACCTTGGCAAATTTAAGACTTGTGGACTTCAACTCCTAGAGTTCCTCAGCCAGCCAAACTCTGGGAGTTGAAGTCCACAAGTCTTAAAAGTTGTCGAGGTTGGAGACCACTGCCTTAGAAGACCCTTTGCCTCCCCTTCCACATTCAGGCCAAGAAGGGGCCACCAAGGTCCACCTACCTGGGGAGGAATGATGTCAAAAAGGTCTCCTCCGGGGGCGTATTCCTGAGCAAAGACATAGCAGTCCTCCGTCTCGAAGACCACATCGAATACTTTGATGATGAAAGGGCTGGAAGATAGAGTATTGGTGATGCTGAACTCCCTCAGGAAGTTCTTCAGCTTGGTCTTGTTCTTGTTGACAAATTTCAGAGCCATCTTGGTGCCTGTGGATGGAGGAGAATGGGTAGGGAAGAGTAACTCCCTGGATGATGGGGGCCAAGGAAATAACATCGTTCTGGAAATCACTGCCCAGGTAAGATGAAACTCCAAAAAAAATGATATTTTTTTAATAAACTTTATTCGGTTTTCAAATTTTAAAAACGTAAAATTATATACATCGTTATGTCAGCGTCAAGACATCGTTTACATTTCCTTATCATGTTTCTATGTATACTTTCTTATTGCATTACCATTGCATATTTCTTTCATTATTCTTATTACAAATTAATATATTTTCATCATATATTTCCTTTCTCTCCACAATAGATATATACATAATCTCCTATTCTTTGCCTAATTACCATTTTAGTTTATTCTTTTTATTCTTAAAATAAAAATAAAATACCAGGCGTCCCAGACTATATAATACATCAAATCCTCTTTATCTCTTAGTTTCAAAGTCAGCCTGTCCATCTCTGCACAGTTTTTTTTTTTTTTTAATAACAACATCCTCCGATGGTACATTTTCCTGCTTCCAAAATTGTGCATAAAAGATCCTAGCAGATGTTAAAATATGTAACATGAATCTTTTTTGTTGTATTTCTCTGTTGTTATGCCTTGGGGTTTAATTTTCTGTTTTATTATGATATTTTAACAGGACTTTGTACAGATCAGTGGCTAATGAATGGTTCCAGTTTTTAAGTCTTCCTTGGCTACAATTCTATGCTGGTTAAGTCACAGTTTGCTGGCTAGGGTTGGCTCAGTCTGTTGCATGAATTGAAACACTTACAGTTTACAAAACATGGGCTATGACGGTTGCAGTGTCCAAGGTCATGCGGTCACCACTTGGGACCTACCCAGCCAGCTTTTGACAAGCAAAATGAATGGGGAAGCCAGATTCACTTAAGGACAGTGTGATTCACTTAAGAACATTGATTTACTTAACAACCATTGCAAAAAAATTGGGCAGGACTGTTTCACCACCTGCTTAGCAACAGAAATTCTGTTTCCAATTGCGGTTCTAAGTCAAGGACTATCTGTATCTCCATCTCCTTCTCCGCTGCCCATGAATTTTCCTGAACTGTCAATAACTTAATTTTCCTTGCCTTAGTTGCTTTTCACCAGAATTTTTGCACCCATAGAAAGTAGAACTGTGAGGCAGGCAAATTCCTCAAAGAACGGTTTTATTGGGTAGATCATATTGACACGAGTGATAAAAGCTGACTCTGAAAGTTCCCGCAGCTTTCACCTAATTAAATGTAAAAATTTCCCCTTTCTCCCAAGTCACTGGTCACGCTGTCCAATCCAGGAGCTGGCTGGTTGCTCTGTTACTGTTGTGGCCCATCAGTGGCCAGCGGAGCTGGTGGCAAGACTCGGACAGTGAGGAGGTTGGGGAGGAACATGGGCCAGTCCTGGAGTCTGGGGAAGGCTCTGATGAGGGCTCTGTGTCGGAGGCAGAGATGGAGCCAGGGCCATCTGACAGTTATCAGCTGCCTTCGGAATCAGAGAGCAGTGGGGCTGAAGAACAGCTGGAGCCTGTTCCCAATCTGCGCATGTGCAGAGCTGCCAGGAGAAGGGAACAGCTAAGGAACAAGGGTCGACTTGGGAATAAAGGCTCAGGTGGACGGTGAATGGCCCCTCCCATAGGGAATAAAGAGGAACGAAAGAGTGGTGGTGTTTGCAGGAGACAATTAGTTCATTTAATGAGTGTGAAGATTTGTTTGTGACTTTCAGAGACTCCTTGCCAAGTATTTCCTTGTACAGCGTTGCACTTGGAAGCTATCGACCTGGCAGCTCTCCAAGCCTGATAAGGTCTGTGGTTATAATTCACCCTTGAAAGACGGTTTGCCAGGACTTTGCTGGATGTGAATGAGAGGAATCCACATTAGCCTAATAAAAAGGGGTTTTGTCGGGATGAGGAGTCTGCTTCGTGATTTTGTGAAGCCTAAGTCAGAACAGTTACTTCCTTCCTCCTCTGGCCAGCCACCTGTGAGAATGTCCTTGGTTCCCACAGGAAAGCTTTCTTGTTTTGGCTACAAAACCCCATCTAACTATTTCACCCCACTCTCTCTGTTGTGTGGCATTCCTGACGCCTCCAAGATGGCCTCAGCCAAGTTCACTTCAGGGTTGACAGTGTGGATTGCACCGTTGTTTCTCAACCTTCACATCTTTAAGACGCGTGGACCTCAACTCCCAGAATTCTCTAGACGGCCATGTTGTCTGGGGAATTCTGGGAGTTGAAATCCACGCACCTTCAAGTTACCAAAGTTGAGAAAAAAAACAAGTTAGCAGTGGAGTGAGTGATTTAGGCACCTGAAGGCCAGACAAGGAACAATGGATGGAAACTGATCAAGGAGAGATTCAACCTAGAAATAAGGAGGAATTTTCTGACAGTGAGAACCATCAACCCATGGAACAGAAGTTGCCTTCGGAAGTTGTGGGAGCTTCATCACTGGAGGCTTTCAAGAAGAGACTGGACTGCCATCTGTCAGAAATGGTGTAGGGTCTCCTGCTTGGACAGGAGGTTGGACTAGATCAGGGGTCTCCAACCTTGGCAACTTTAAGCCTTGTGGACTTCAACTCCCA